AAAAAAAAGGAAAAAAGTAAAAAAAACCACTTTTAAAACCCCCTTTTTTAGACCCAATAAAAAAAAAAAAAAAAAAAAAAAAAAAAAAAAAAAACTACATGGATCAATATATGCAGAATATTTATGTCCAGAAAGGAAAGAAGGCAGCATAAATCATAGACTGGTTGTGTGTTTTTTTTGTTTTGTTTTTTTGTTTTGCACTGTTCGGAAAGTTTTGTTCATGGTGAAGTTCCAGGTGCAGGTTAATAAATTTGGATATTATTACTATAATTTAGCTCAAATGTATCTGTCATTTTGAGGCCATCAGTCCTGATGTTTTTTGTTTTTTTTGTCTTGGCACAAAGCAATGTTGATCGGACAACCACTAAAATAAATTACAGATGTTACATAAGTACTCATGTTATGCTTGCGATGAGCATGTCGTTGAATCATTAAGTCGGGACTTGGGATGAAACATAAGTGGCACCTGATTTCTTTTCAAGAATCCCATTAGGAGTAGAACAGAAACTGATATAACCTTTATTGTCTCAAAGTGGGGGAACTACTACTTTAACCATTATTTGTGAAAGCAAATAGAAAATGATGCTGTATTAGGCAGAATATTCTTTATAAACACAGCCTTAAATGTTTTATCTACAAAAAGCCTGAAGATAAGCAAACAAGATTCTAATTTGTTGAGTGTCTACAACTTGTTTTTTTTATGAATGCTAAGCTCAAAATATGCTGGTAAGTATTTTGAATTTAAAAATTGTACTAAAATGTCAAATAATTTTCAGCACAAAAAAATGAAAATTATTATTTTTTTAAATGTAAACATTAAGCACAATATCTTATAATAGGGAATGTTCACATGCATGCATGCTCTGTGTCGATTTTTAACCGTTTCTTGGCACAGAGACGATATAAACCAATTCATCTACACATAGCAAACAGAGGTACCTTTTGTTAACTGATATGCAGAAATCTAAATCACATTAGCATAGTACCATAGCAATTAAACAAACCATAATACTACAATAGGCAGAGGTTGTTACATAGTGAACGTGGCAGATAAGTACTGTGTAAGCTAGTAACATCTATGGTACACTTTCACAGTCAACTTATTCCAGTTGCTGTCCCTGCAGTGACAATGTGGAACACAATTCCTCTTCAGAAACCTTAAAATGCAACAGTTTCATAACACGTATGTCCCCTTACTTTTGTTTAATGAATCAAAACAATGTACCGTCAAGCAACTTGGGGCTGCTGCTGCTGGTTCTGTGACACATGTTGAACCACCTTTTGCCTTCCATTAGCAGAAGACTGCCCTCTGAAAACCAGGATATCAAATAATGTTTGAATATTGTCAGGTTACCACACAATAATATTTCAGGTTGAAGTCAAGCAGGACCCTACAGTCATGCTACCTCACTCCTATTCATATTCAGCCACTTTGCTGCTGCTGTAGGGATCAAATCTGAACAACATTTGATAGCAAACTTCCTAATTTAGGAATACGGGAGAGGTTTCTGCACCACCATCATCAGATTCAGACTTGCTGTGGATGAGGAAAATACTTTGTATTAAAGCAGAGTACTTTCATCAGCTTGTCTGCAGCGTGATCGCATTTGTCAGAGTTTTGCAAATAGTTATCTCATGAATAAGTTTGTCTCTCTACTCTAAGCTGGAAACAAGGTGAGGTGGATCATGCTGTTCTTGGAGGAAACCGGTTTCAGCTAGTTCAGAGAGACCCCTCTACTCCTTATCTTTAAGTTTTTGGTTTATGACCGACGCCCCATCCCGCTTTCAATAAAACCAGGCTGCTGCAGGGGGACAAGTTGGAGTTGTCCTGAGGCACCACTGGGACTCTCCCCCTTTGCAAAGGCTGAAGTGATAAAACTCTCTGTGTGGTTCTTTATATCATCAGGTTAAAGTACACAACAGTATTATCTACAGAAAATGTCCCATGAAATAGCAGTGTGTGCTATTTTGTCCCACATTCTAACTTGGTGTGCACTACTCTATAGCTGGGAGACCTATTGTAAAAAAAACAACAACCAAAAAAAAAAAATCTATTGTTATATGGTACAAACCTGTGCACTTTCTTCATGACATCTTAGCAACAGTTACATGGGACTTTTGGGGCATGGAGAAAACAGCTGAGGTACTCTCAAGCTCAATCTACTAATGTGATGTTACTCTCCTGCTATTGGCCTGGTGCAGTGGGAAGAGGGGCTCTACATGGGCAAAAGGTTGGTTCCCAAATGTAAGGAAAATCTGAGTAAATAAACCCTTACTTACTACAGTCAGTGATTAAAGTTCTGTGTTGATGTGAACATATTGTTTCATTACATTGTTTTTTTTTTTCTTTGTTTTTTTTGTTAAAAGTAACAAGTCCAACAAAATCAATTGAAATTAATCTTGGAATTATTAAGTCAAGTATTTTAGTTTCCCTTTCATATAAATGATCTGCATTTGTTTTTGCAAGTACTTCCCTGCATTCCTGATTGGAACCTTAGTGACCCTTAAGAAACCCCTAGTGGTCAACCTAACTTTGGTTTTATTGTTGACATTTGGTGCAGCTAAAACCAATGACTAGAAAAGATAAAACTTTTTTTTCTTTTTAAGAAACAAAGACAGAGATTCAAATCTGCATTGCTTTGCTCAAACGTTTTGTGTTTTGTATAAAAATATATCTCTTGTGAAGTACTATCAGTATGACATGGTGAAATAGGAAACTTTGGAATATAGTAAATGTGATAGGCATTAAACCTAAAAAAACAAGTACTGTCAAAATCGAATTACTGTGTAGTTAAAAACATGGCTACTGTCTCATTCTCTTCTCCTCATTTATATACTGACTTCACATTCAATATTAAGACTGTAAGGCAATCTAAGGCAATTTTCCACACATACTGTATATATGGATATTTTTTCACTTACTACAATCATGCATTGATCCAAACTTTGCATTCTGCTTATGATGTTCTTGTGACGTTATTACCCTCTGTGTGTTTCGGCCAAAAATTAAGAGTCTGATTAAGTGGGGACTAATGTAAGGGTATAGTTTTTAGTACATCTCAATAAATTACTATATTGTTAAGAAGTTAATTTGTTTCAGCAATTCAATTTAAGTGTAATTCATATATTATGTACATTTATTACACACAAAGATACACACACACACATATATATATATATATATATATATATATATATATATATATATATATATATATATATATATATTGCATTTGTTTTTCAAGTTTGATGATTAAAGGCAATGACAATTCAAAGTTTAGGTTGTAAAAAAATGATTACATCAGGCCAATAAATAATGAAATTATAGAATGCTAACATTTTCAGGGAAACCAAATTTTTGACTTTCAGTAGCTGCAAGACATAATCATCAAAATTGACAGAAACAAATGCTTGATCAGTATCATTCTGTGTCAAATCAAACTATTATTTTTTTTTTACATTTACTTCTTAAATAGAATTGCTGAAAAAAAAAAGTTTTCAATTAGATTTTAATTTGTTGAGATGTACCTGTATATCTCCCTTTTGTATCATCTGGTTAATTCACACACTCATTCATCCAGTGTCCTGCAGGTTTTTAAGTTTTTTTTTTGGTTGTCATCGGGAATCAGGTCGGGCGACTTCATATTGACGTCCTGTCCAATAAGCCTGTACCTGTAGTTAAGGTCTGACGGTCCTGTCCGCTCATGGTGTGAGATTCCCCAGCAGGTCGGGGGTGACGTACCCAACAGGCATTGGGACTTTGAGGGGATGCTGTGGCTGGCACAAAGAGGGAGATTGGCTGGGAGGCGGGTTAAGGAGCAGACTGCGATGCGTGTCCAACTCCTGCACCACTGTGTAGTCTGCAACAGGGGTAAAGAGCTGAGGCTGGGAAGGCTCAGGGAGAATATACGGGGACTCGTTGGCGTCTCCCGTGGCTGCAGGTTTGGTCTCCATTGGCTGAGGCTGTATGGTTTGGTACCCTGCCCCAGGCACCGAAGTGCTGGGAGGAGTGCTGGTCTGCTGGGTGTTGTTCTCGGCGGTGTAGCCGCCTCCCTCTGGAACCACTACAAACAGCTGAAACTGGGGCTCATTTCTCTTCTGCTCCTTGATGCCCTCAACATCTTCATTTTGCTTTCCTCCTTTCTGTGTTTCCCGCTCTGAACCTGAGGTGTTCTCCTGGATTTTAGGTTGCTGGCCAGGGGACAGCACAACCCCCCCAGATGGCATAACATTGCTGACCTGGGCATATAAGTCTGTGTTGACCCAAGTCTGTGGTCCCCCGATTTGAGTTTGGATGAGGGGTTTTTCACCCGTCTCTGAAGCTGGGGCGTCCAGGCAGGTTTCGTTGTCCTCAGGTTGGCCCGGCAGCAGGGACGCCATGAGTCTCTGAGTGTCATGTTCCGGCAGATCTGTGTCGTAACAGCTGGCCCGGCCTGAGTCATCGTCAGGGTGGCTAGATGAGAAACCCAAGGTAAAAACAATAAGGGAATAACTTCAAATCTGTGATACCAGTTAGCATGAAAACAATCCATTCACATGAAAGTTTTTAAATTACCTAATGGCGCTGAAACCCTCTATATTCCTGTGTGGGAGACCAAGGAGCCTCTGAGTGTCTGAATTATAGTTGTCTTCCTTGTCTCCACCTTCCGCATCCTCTTCATCCACCTCAATGAACTCCACCCATGGCTCTTCTTGGTAGAAATCTGTTGCATAGGCTGGCAGGCCGTCCACACCCCCACCATTCAGGATAAAATTCAACTCCTCCAGTTTCCCCTTCTACAAAAGATATAAAATATTGACAAGAGCTGTTCAAGATGTAGTATGACACTTTTACATGATTTGTATCCTGCCATGACATAATGAAAATTTTACCAAATATGCAGAAAAGATATGTTTTAGATTATTTACATGCTGCAGCTTTGAAGCAACCTTTTTCACTTTAGAATATTACAGCCGGCATATAGGCTCAGTGTTGCATATCATTCATATACAATTCATGATATTCCCATATATTTTTTTCTTTTGTTAGAAGGCGGATTTGCTCTGTAGCATCTCATGATATACCACACCATAGTATATCATTTATTACAAAGCTTATCCTATTTACCTACTTTGACTTTCTTTGTATTTATGCATAAGTCGATTTTTATCAAAGTAACAACAAAGAGAAAATTATGCAGCACCTTTTAACAGACTTAAATTAAACTGAAAGAGTAAAAAAAAAAAAAGGAAAACACAAGAATGCATGCAATACCTTCAACAATTCTGAATCAATGCCTTTGATTTTGGGTGCAGGAACAGGCGGCAAGAGAATCATCATTATTCTGAAATGACAGAAGAACGTGATAAGGTTAATAATATTGACAGGAGCATCTTAAAACAAAGGGTGACTTTTTTTTATTTGGATTGGTGAGTGCAGTTCATGATTTAAACCTACAAGAAAACGTTTTTTTAGTCTTTTCTTAGCTGAACATCACCAGCCTTCAAATTTCATAGCAGATTAAAATTTCTAGAGTAAGTTTTTGATTGGAGGATTTGCTTGTAAATTTCTATGGCCACTGTGTTTGGAGGCCACTGTGTTTCTATGGCCACTGTGTTTGGAGGCCACTGTGTTTGGAGGCAATATTTATAGAGTGTTTTGTAAAAGTATTTCTTTGCTATATTTTAAATGGGATAAAAGCCTTTGAATCAAAACCAATACATGGTTTTCAAGATTAACACAAACCGTTTACAAAGTGTTTTTCACTCTCATCTGTTTTTGGTGAGTTTTTTTTTAAGAAATCCACTTTGATGAATTTTATTTTATTTTTTTAAATGAATGAGGACAGGTTCTTACCTTTGCTGCTGAGAAATGACTATCAGCATGATGACAGTCAGGACCCCCACGACCCCAAAAATGAGAACCAAAGTGAGTGGGACAGTGTAATCTGAAAACAAAATGTAGCATCATTTCTGATTAAATTCCTTGTATTTTATTTTTGCGAATTTAATAACTTAAGTAATAAGGCAGGTATGCATTAATTAAAGAAGAAAGGCTCCCACACCTTTGCTGGGAATTTCCGTAACTTCAATGAAGATGGAGTCGCTGAACTCTCCAAACTTCACAAAGGCCTGCATCCTGGAGCGGATGTGCACTTCGTACTCTTTTCCTATTTGCAGGCCGTAGATCGTCTGCTGGGTGTGCGGCTGCTTCTCCAGCTGAAAATGAAAATTTCACAGAACTCTTTAGCACATTTTAACAGAGCAGACAAATGTCCTGGCACATGCAGGGAGAAAATAAACACAGTGGCTAACTTGAAACAGCACAATGTGCCAAGAGGTCCTTACTTATTTTTGGTACCCGTAACTATGACCTTTTCAAAGGTGGCATGGCTGCCCAGGCCTTTCACATAAATATGATCGAAGACAAGTTGGCATAACAGAGCCATCTGTTGCTATTTTGAAGTTTGCATTTGTCAAACCGGGTGGCCAGGCAATGATAAACAAGCCTATACAAGGTCCCATGCCCTCTGACCCACAGATCCCTCCCTTCTCTTTTCCTTCAGAGAGTTTGTTTTCGCCGAGGGTCCTGCTCCTGCTGCAGCGGGCTTGCCAACAAAGCTACGGTGCATTTCAGCCACAAGAGTTCAGGAGGGAGTCCAGAGGGTGGAAAGGAAACAAAACACGGTGTCTCTACAACCTACCAAGAGTTTACTTTCAAACTTATGTGTAAGTGCTTTCATTTGTGCAATCTCTCGGGTGTTTTGTGTAGTCAGAAAGAAAGTTTGACGAAAAAAAAACATACTGCTTCCCAGTTGGTGGCGTTCCTCTCTCTGTACTGGATTTCATACTCAATGCGCATCCAGCCCACGCCAACGTCTGCAGAGGGCGGGGGCTTCCAGCTGACTAAGACATCGTAATTGAGGCCAGAGGGGCTTATGTTCAGCAGGGTCCAGTTTAAAGACACGGGCGGGTCAGGACGCACTGTAAGGGCAGGGGGAAGGAGCAAAAGTTTAGACGTGAACACGAGAAAAAACATGCAGCTGTTTACATCTTTGGATTTCACTGCACTCTCTTGTTTGCGCTCTAAAATACTGCTGTGCAGGAATGTTTACGGCATTAGAACATGACTTTTGCACTGTGCTGATATTTTGAGATCTGTCAAATTAACAAAACCAATATACCTTCCAGTAGTAGGAGGTTTTAGGAAACAAATGCAGCGAAAAGCGCAGCATTTTTACAAAGAGGTATTTTAGTGGTATTAACAGAAACGCTGACAATGGTAAAAAAATTAACTTGCAAAATATGTACATTTATAAGAAAGTGTGTAGAGGAGGATATTCTTCATGCATCCACATTTGTTTGGCATGCTTTACTGAAAAGAAATATTTTAGGTTTAGTTTTTAATTTTTGGCCTTTCGGTTGGATAAAACATTTGACCACTGCTTTTAATTTGTCTGTCAAGTTCCCATGAATCACAGGGTGCTTGTCCCGGTCTTTATCTTCGCTGTCTGGCAGACAGTCAGTTTATCTAATGTTTGCTTCAGCCAGCAGCAAAGGCTTTTTTTTTTTTTTTTTTTTTTTTTTTGGCCCATGGACTTTCAGACTAACGAAGGTTCCAGTAAATTCTGTGGTGATGAATAAAGCCTTTTATGAAGACCAGTTTCGAAATTCCTTCTTAAAAGCTGAATTACAGAAAATTTAGCACAATTTGAAGTATCAACAATATAAAAAAAAACACATTTCTTAGAGAAATCTGGGATCACTGTAAAATGCTTGTCAAACATAAAGTCTTTTTGAAAAGAAGATGTACATAAGTCCTTACAGAGACGTTGAGATCTCACTATGTTGGTATGTGTTAAAGATTAAATGTTACACACTTTCTTTACATATGTGGTCAGTTTTCTCTTGCCAAAACAATGTAAGGTGGGAGATAAATGGCTTTGAAAACATATTTTTCCAGAAAGTTCAAATTTCATCAGTTCAGATATAAAGTTGGACATCAACATGTAAAAGAAAATAAAGTCAGAAGTCAATATGAAAATAAGTGATGTTCTTAAAGTGACACTTTTAAATAAGATGTTGAACCCCTAAAAAATAATGTCACCACAGTCAACAGTACTTGTAGTTCATACATTTGTTACAATATTCCATAGTCCTACATTACCAAAAGCCTTATTTATATAAAAAAGGTCTGGCATGGGCTTGAGTTTTATTAGTATATGCCGTGCATTAAAAAAAGCTTGTAAGGAAGCTAAATGCCCACATCCATTTCTGTAACGTATAAGTTCTCCTTCTAGGATAGAAATACTGAATTTAAATGATATGACAAAGGCAGTTTGAAGTCCCTCAATAGCTTGCCTCAAAAAAAAAAACCCAAAACAATCCTGATTACAGTTTTTGTCATCAACAAAAATGTCCACTTCAGCTCTGGAGATGATTTTCCTAATGGTTTGTTTGTAACAAAGACAAACAAACAAACAAACAAAAAATACTTGTGAAGACAGACTGACTACAAACCTATATTTTCCACTGTGAAGCAGTCGTCTTCATTGAAATAGGTGACGTTTTGGCCACGAAGCTGAACACAGTAGGGGATCCAAACAGATGTATGGTTGGCATCAAAGAAGCACTCTCTGTTTTCATGGATGTACTCGGGACATTCCTTCCATGCACTGGTGGGGGAACTGAACAAGAGAAAATGAAGATAAAAGAAGAAAGGGTAGCTGTAAAGTAAAGTTTTACGACATGCGCACATAAATCAGTGTTAAAGCTGCACTCACTCTTTCTTTAGGTAAAATACTCTCAGTGCTCCAGGAGAGGACAGGTTTTGGAGGCTGCCTGGACTCCACCAGCAGCGGAAAGTCTCCTGGTCCCTTGAGATGCAGTCTGTGAAGTGAGGTCCAAGGGTAGCTGCAAAATCAGTGAGGAAAAACCCAGTGTCAGGAAGGTTGGTGGTTTATTCATTAAAAAAAAAAAATGGTTCAGAAATCCCACAATGAAATTAAATGTTGCTGGAACCTAAATTATGCAAGACTTTCCAAAGAGTCACTATACATGGTGCTGGTTGTAGCCAGTTTGGAAGAAATTGCCTATGCAATTCTTTTAGTTGCATAGGCATTGGAGGCTATACAACTAAATAAAGCCTAAAGAAAGAGGCAAATATTAGCAAAGGTAAATTAGTGGAGCCAGACTGAAGTTGACAACTGGAGCAGAAAAATGTAGGAACTCATATCAACTACCCTGCTACAGTAGAGATTTAGCCATAAATAAAAACATACATTTTATGAAAAACTACCAGAAGTAAAGAAATGTGCACCTTGATATACCTTTGTTCACACAGTAAAGAAATGTTTTGGAAGCGCCAGATCCATGTTTGATCTGAAGCCCAATTTATTTTAATATAGAATGATGCTTTATTTGTCATCTTATAAGTGAAGCTTTAACAAAATCAAATTGACAGGAAAATGGAAGTACACAGAGGCTTTTATTTATTATAAAAGACAAGCCTATCATAATAAAGTAATGACACAACTAATGATACAAGATTTCCTGAAGTAAATTGTTACAGATTTCTCAAACAGGGAAGTGACACACTTAAATTAATTTAGTTTTCAAAAGAAGGACGATTTTTCCCCCTATCATCTATTGGTTTTTCCCTAATAAGTGTATTAAATATTGCGATATTGTAACTAATCATATTAGCTCTTAAGTAGAAAAAGCCCTGTGCCTCCAAAAATGTTGCTACACTATAGAAAATGGCATTGAGTAATGAATATTTTTTTCTAGTATCAATATTGAGTTTGACATTTTTGTAAAGTTCCCAATACTCAAAGCTATTATCCAATACCAGTCAGCAGCTGTTCAAAACACGAGGAAAAAAAAATACCATGTTCAATCCTACATAAGAAGCATCAAATCAGAATGCTTCTTTGCATGTAGTATCTAATGTGACAGTGACTTTCTTTTGACATGCTGGCATTTGGACATCAGCGTATTGTTTTCAGCGACTGAGGAAAGCCAACCAGCACCTGATGAAAGGTGTGATGAGGCAAACGGTAGGTGGAACGAGCAGAACACAGAGGGTAAGTCTACCCTCCAAACGTGGATGTATAGGAATACAAACTGCTGATGTGCGAGTAGGATCAAATTTCAGTCACCAGCCCTTGATCCGTCCACACAGACCTTGAGGTCTTTACTCAGCCTCTTTCATCTCTCCCTTGGCACCTCATCACTCACCATCAACAATCTTCTACCCACTCCTGCCAGAGAGCCGGTTTCTCATCCAGCTGGGAGTTTCAGGCCTTGGTGCAGCCATAAATAATCCGCTGAGTGTATCATCGATTTCTGCTCTACTCAGTCTATGCTCCTTCTGCTAACTCTGCGCAGAATTATAAATCACAAGTAAAATTGGAACATTAGCAAGAAATTAAAGAAAGACAGACTTCTGCAGAACTTTCTCCACGTTTTCAAAGCTTTTCAACATAAAACACAAGAAGATGCTAAATTGGGTACCAGCCATGTGTTTGCACAGTAAATATAAACACACAAACACTTTAATCCTCGGGCTTTACAACAAAGACACTCCTCACTAATAAAAATCAGCGCTTTACTACTTTTACCACTTGTAGTCCAATGTCAGAGTAACTTCAAAATTCATACTCATTCCCCGTTTTCCTTCACGTCATGTTTTTTCACGTGGTTCCAAATGATTTTCCGAATCGTACTTTCCTCCCTCGTCCCTGCAAATTCCAGCTGCTATCAAGAAAACACCTTTTACAGAGAATGTGTGCAAATGAGGTCTTTTCAACAGAAATGGTTCAGATAGAGTAATAAGCATGTTAACATATACAGAATATGATATTAGGTTTAAATACTTCAAGAAAGGCCTACATTATTTTGTGTTACACCACTCTTAACTGTTTGTCCATGGAGGAAATAAGTGAAGGTAAACAAAACTTTGTATAAGTTAGCTTGAGTGCAGAGGCCAAACGGTGTAGTTATGCTTTGAGAATCTGTTTTCATTTTTTAAGTCAGCAGTGTGTCCATACAGTGTGCAGTTTGCCAGAGTTAAAACGTTATGCAAAAAACACCTGGAAAAACATACAAAATAAAGCCTCAATCTAATTTCCAATGCCTCTCTTTTGAACCCCTTTAGTAAATTAGCTTCCAAAGATTTATTGTACTGCATCCGTCATCCTGTTTTGGAGTCAGAAAACTAACAAATCTTAAAAGTATGAAACACAAAAATGTTATTGCACATCTTTCAGAAACAAAAATAACTTTTTGAGTCACACCTTCTATAAACAGGAAGTATGTCAATTAGTGGGTGCATCAACAATGTCTACTGGGGGTATCTTAAAGGGATTTTTTGTGATTGGTGGCATGGAAAAAGGAAAAAAAAATGCATTTATTTATTTATTTTTTTAAATTTAAAACTTCAACAGAGTCCACATCCCGAGGAAGCAATCGTTATAGCCAGGAGTCCAGACTCTTTGTACGAAGCAAAGCGTAGAACAAAGGGCTGGTTTTTACCAGCCTTCATAATAGTCCTCTTTAAGATCTCTTGTGTGGATGACTTATGCTCTTAGTAGCATTTGCTGTGAATTTTTGTCACCCGAAGCATGTTCGCACTATAATTTCTTTGTGCTCTCTTTTTTCTCTCTTTTTTTTTTCTTGATTTTGATCACGGAAATTATTTAAAATATTTTGAGGTACAAGAAAAGAAAAAGCTGTAAAAGAAGACACATATCCTTTAAAAACAACCAAGACTGTACGGGTGAACTAGTGAAGTGAGGCTTTAGGACCCTGTTTAATTTTTTTTTCATGTCAGCTGGATGTCAGTAAAATCTGAAACATACCAGAGATAAAAGGTTATGTAACAACACATGGAATAACTTTCAATAATATGAGTCTAATTTCCAAACCCCCTCTTCTCATTTTTCAACCTGCTTATTATGCTGTTTCTTCAGGCTGTTAATTCATTTTCATGTAAATGTTGAAGTTTTTTATTTTCATTCTTTTTTTTTTTTTACTTCTTTTAGCTTGGGTTTATTCACCTTTGACCAGCAAAATGTAGGACTATTTGTGAGCTTAGGTAATGGACAGCTAAATTCTGTCTGTTCTTGCTAGTTGCCATTAAAATGATCCACAGCTGAAAGCCCTCAACTGAGGGAAGACAGCTAATTTTGTGCAGAAGTGTGTGTATGTGTGTGCAGCCCCCCCATCCTCTCTGTCCATATGTTTCTGCCTGTTATTGAAGGCTTCGCAGGCTGCACAGACTGATAAACAGCTCTCAGCCTCTCCTCCACCCATCACCAGGTCATGTAGAGGAGCTAGGAAACCATCCACTGAAAATGATGCAGGCCACAGCCATTAAGGCTTAAAAATACAGTAAAAAGCCAAAATTGGGCTTCCAGTCCCAGTACTATTTCGAAAACAATACTAAAAAGATGGGGAAATGTGAATGGACTTATCCTACTTCACCCATACCCTACTTTATAATATTTACCTGTAACGAGGGACTTAATGGGCCTATGACATGTTGGAATACTCACATTTCCACCTCTTTTGCAGAATTAAGCTGAAGTTGGAAGATATGGGAAGAGATGGAGGGCAAAGGTCAGATTGACAATGTGTGCACAATGATAGCCAAATGTAAGAAAGCATGAGATTGCAAAAGAGAATAAATTTGTCATTGTGCAACATACACTGTAACACTAAAACAGAATTATTGATGGTCTGGAATAAAATCCAAGAAACTAATTTGTTCTCAATTTTCATTTTAACGGATCTAAAACTGCATTTCTATGTTGTTATGCAAGAAATGTTTTTATGTTGCACTGAATTTAAAACTGTACTTTAAGTTGGTATTTTTGTAAGTTACTCAAAAAGGTTCACATGAATAACAAATGTGGTTAAGACGATGTAGTTAAGCCAATAAGGTAATAAAGATTGATCATAGATGAAAACTGAAGCCATAAAACAAAACTGCAAAACAAAAGAAAGCAGAGAGCAGATTTGTTGTTCCTTGACATTTTTCACAAGCCTTAAAGCTAAGATATTTAGAAGACGCTTACATGATGGCAGACTGCTTAATATTTACAAATCTTCACCAATAACTAATTTGGACATAATTATTTATTGCAATGGTTGCACTTTAATGTATAAGAGAAGAGCAGTTAGAGGTGGCAGATTCTCTCTAAGCTTTGCTCCTTACTTAATTCTAACTTCATCTGCTTTTAGTTACTCAGTTTGTCTTCTAAACTGAGACACAAACTCACTTTATCACTGGAGTATCTGCAGAGAGTACACTGGGCTCGATAATATGGCAAAATCTTGAACTTTTGTGGTTTAGACATTGGGTCCTAAACACTGTAGTAAGGTTTAGAGAGAAGGGATTGAGTGTGCACTACTCTTAACAGAGTCCTTCCATCAGTAGAATAATATGTGCTGCCCAATATGTATTATCAGCTTTGTTCAATTAAAGGTTTGCAAAAAAATATTATCACTCATAAACATCTTGATATGAAAATGTTTGTGCACAAATACTGAACATATATTCCCAACATCAACTAAAGTAAGAAATGATAAATGAATCGAGACTTTGCAGAACCATGGTGTTTCTACTAGCTTTACACGTCTGGAGACATTTTTGTCTAATCTTTACAACATAGATCAAGCTCAGTGAAACTGTACAGAAAGCATCTTAGTGCTAATTCTCCATTAGAGTCAGATGTGGGTTTAGAGTATTCCAGCAGAAACAAGCTTTGTTCTTAACCATTCTTTTGTGGTTCTGGATGTATGTTTATGTTTGCTTTGTGGCTGAAAGACTAACCTGGTCTGATCTGACCAGAGCCATTTAATCAATTTATTTTTATTTATGTATATATCACATCTTCAGCAACAAGGCA